GTTAGGTAAGGTTCGGTGTTTTCTATGAAGCTTTTCAAGGTAAACTAAAATATTCACAATAAATTAGTATGTCACATATGTACTTATTTAATAAGTCAATATTGACTGTACGAAAGTGCGAGAACGGGATGAACACTTGAGAATGGTCCAGGATGGACCGAAACGTCGTCGTCCCTTCACCTTCTAGTGTGTGGTCTGGTCAACTTCCTGTATCCGTCTCCCCAATGTATTCCTGGAGCCAGGTATAAGTCTCGAGTCTTATAGTCAGGCGGTTCCCATCTTCTTCCTACACGCCCTCTACAGCCCCAAACTCTTCAGTTCTGCCTGTTAGAGCTGTGTGTTCACCTTGAGATGTATAAATCTGTCTTATCGTAACCTCCACCTCAGACAGTAATTCAATTTTTCTTTATTATGCACCCCATACCCATCCTGTGGGCGGTGGTGTAAAGAGTTACAGATGCATATAATTGGTTCAGGAACTGAATCCTCTAGTTCGTTTAGCTAAGCAAATAACAATATTTTGACGCTAGTTACACAATTATTAATGTTATGTACTCAGGTACTCTGAGAGAGAACTCTATCAACATCAGAGGTCCGAGACTGTTCAATACGCTTCCGCTACACATAAGGGGCATAACTGGCCGACCCCTCACAGTGTTCAAGAGAGAACTGGATAAGCACCTCCAAAGGATACCTGATCAACCAGGCTGTGACTCATACGTCAGGCTGCGAGCAGCCGCGTCCAACAGCCTGGTTGATCAGTCCAGCAACCAGGAGGCCTGGTTGACGACCGGGCCGCGGGGACGCTAAGCCCCGGAAGCACCTCAAGGTAACCTCAGGGTAAGGTATGTATACTCGTACACATACTCATACATACATGGACATACATATACATATATACATACACAATCACCCACACAAATACACACATCAATAATCTTTGTGTCACAAGTGATCAACAAGAGGCTCACAACAGTCACTATACAAGGCACTTTACATCTATGGTGAGTCACACAGTTACTAGTCTTGCTGCACACCCACCCAACTGGGCGGCAGCTTTACAGTCATGTGCTCCACACCCACCCAACTGGGCGGCAGCTTTACAGTCATGTGCTCCACACCCACCCAACTGGGCGGCAGCTTTACAGTCATGTGCTCCACACCCACCCAACTGGGCGGCAGCTTTACAGTCATGTGCTCCACACCCACCCAACTGGGCGGCAGCTTTACAGTCATGTGATCCACACCCACCCAACTGGGCGGCAGCTTTACAGTCATGTGCTCCACACCCACCCAACTGGGCGGCAGCTTTACAGTCATGTGATCCACACCCACCCAACTGGGCGGCAGCTTTACAGTCATGTGCTCCACACGCACCCAACTGGGCGGCAGCTTTACAGTCATGTGCTCCACACCCACCCAACTGGGCGGCAGCTTTACAGTCATGTGATCCACACCCACCCAACTGGGCGGCAGCTTTACAGTCATGTGCTCCACACCCACCCAACTGGGCGGCAGCTTTACAGTCATGTGCTCCACACCCACCCAACTGGGTGGCAACTTTACAGTCATGTGCATGCATTACCTACAGTAAGCAAATTTTGGATACTTCGCTAAGATTTCGGGCAGCACATCATTATGAATGAAGTACTTACACATTTCTTGGACATTATTGATGGTGTTATCTCTTAATTCTGCTATTTTTTCCCATTCCATTATATAATGACGCAAAGTACGCGAATAGTTCTGCTGACATAGTTTACATTTAGTCAAATCTACATCAGCAGATGTTACAAACTGCCAGAGGTACTTGTAGCCGAACCTAAGCCTAGCAGTGGTAACATCTAGAAGTCTGCTAACCTTATTGGATGACCCTAGACGTGCGGTTCTTCCTGCATAATAGAATGATGATAGATGGAGCAACTGGTGTGAATTTCACTTTGCCTCAAGTCTATGAAATTTAGTTGATGTTCCCGGAATATTACTGCCCTCAGACTGCTCAAAGGCAGTCCAAATTGGTAATCAGTTCCCTCTTTATGAGCAAAAGTCTTGCCCAACTCATCAGTTCTATCATGCATTCGGAGACTAATATGGGAAGGAATCCACAGGAGACAAACTCTGACTCCATCATTGATTATTTCACAACATCTGTGTCTAGCTTCAGAGACAAGCACAGTAAGGAAGGCAACTAAGACCGTCTCGGGGCACTAAAGACCATCTACAACAACAGGATAACATAACATGACATTGCCTCTTACCACGTCAAGTCTGTCACGTGACACTAGAGCCTCTGATGTTGATGCCTCTCGTCGGTTTGCTTCTCAAGTCTTCCCACTTGGGAACCTGTACACTGAACACTGCTCCCTTCAACACTGCCAGTGTATCCTCAGGATGGATATAGGGTCCACAATTAGTCATTCTGTGTATGGGGTCCACTACCACACGTAGGATGGGGATGGGAGTCCACTACCACGCGTAGGATGGGTATGGGGGTCCACTACCACCTGTAGGATGGGTATGGGAGTCCACTACCACGCGTAGGATGGGTATGGGGGTCCACTACCACGCATAGGATGGGTATGGGGTCCACTACCACGCGTAGGATGGGTATGGGGGTCCACTACCACGCATAGGATGGGTATGGGGTCCACTACCACGCGTAGGATGGGTATGGGGGTCCACTACCACGCGTAGGATGGGTATGGGGGTCCACTACCACCTGTAGGATGTTAATGGGGTCCACTACCAACTGTTGGATGAGTATGGGGTCCGCTACCACCTACATCTGTGCAGTAGTGGACCCATACCCATCTTATGGGCGATTGTAGGCCCCATACCTATCCTACAGGTGGTAAGGGACCTGTTACCCATCCTGTGGATGGTAGTGGTCCCCAAACCCATCCTATGGGCGGAAGTGGGCCATATGTCCATCCTGTGGGTGGTAGTGGACCCCCATACCCATCCAACAGGTGCTAGTGAGCCCCATACCTATCCAGTGGACGGTTGTGATACCCGTTCCCATCTTGTGGGCAGTAGGCGACCCCATATCCATCCAACAGCTGGCAGTGGACCTCATACCTATCCTTCTGGGTGTCAGTGAACCTCATACCTATCCTTTTGGGTGGCAGAGGACCTCAGTGTGACTTGTTGTGGACCCTATATCCAACATGTTTGTACTCCACACATTCCAACGTCACATCGCTTACTGTTTACGTTCCTACAACCCATTCTCTATGATTTTCAAAGCTTACACTATTGTATATAATGTTTAGCGAATGCATAATATATGTAATAATTTATGGAGTGCTTATTATAATTTACTGAGAAGCACCAAGATTTCTTAAGTGCTAACCTTTAACAGGATGCACTGTAGAATAGTGGTGTAAATAATGGGTTGAAATATTAAGTGACAATGGAGATTTATTATAACTTTTTTGTTAACTTTTCAGTAAAGAGTAAACTTTTTTAGTAAATTGTATTCATCTATCAACATATATAATCTTCGCTATAATCTTAATTTAGTCTTAATTTAAAGTAATCCGAAATATTAAAACGAGGAGCCATAGGTGGTAGCTATGTGTACCATCTATCTTTAAGCTCTGTCAATTTTAATACTAATAATTATTATTATTAACTTTGCCTCAAGTGAACTAGATTCTCTATTTTCTCTGAATATTTCTTCCTTCAGGATGCTCAGAGGCAGGCAGAGACGGTAATCAATTGCCTCCTTATGAGTAAATCATCTAGCTAAATTTGGAGCACTGTGCTCAGTCCCACAAGGTCGAATTACTGATCATTCCCAGGATGCACGAACTGCATAAAAAATTGATCGATTTGACTATTTTTGTCACATTACCCATCGGCTGCTTGAGGGTAGGGTACAGAGTACATGTGCTAGTAGTCTGTAACCCAATACCCATCCTGTGGGTGTAATGGTCCTATTCCCATCCCATTGGGAGTTGTAAACTCCATTACTATCGTGTGAAGGGCATTTGTTGCCATACCCAGCTGGATTTGTTCACAACACAATCGAGAATTCTGGGTTCGAATCCCATGCGGGATAGGAATGGTTGGGCACATTTCCTTTCAGCTACTGCGTCTGTTCACCCAACAGTGAGTAGGTAATCAGGAGTTAGTCGGCTTGTTACGGGGCTGCATCCTGGGAGTGATCAGCAATTCGTCCTGGGGAGGGGGGGGGGGGCTCGATACAAGTCTACCGTGTATAAATACACTGGCTTCCTGTCCCCCAACAATGAATTAGAATTATTATACCCCCATCCTGTGGGCAGTAGCGTAGTATAACCTACCAATTTAATTTCTAACATTCATAATGTACAAGCCATTTTTTTTAATTGTCATAGAGTATATCCTATTGTATATATAATAATTTGGCACTAATTGAATTATATACATAATATTTCATAGAATAATTGTTATAATTTAGAGAATTACCAAGATTTCTCAAAACAAAACTTCAAGCCTCCAATAGTATGTAGCTGATCTGCAATATTCAAATAGGATGGAAAATGGTACATAAATCTCTCACCAGAAATGGGACGGGTACCGAGAGGTGAGGAAGGGTTGGTGCCTGAAGATAGCTAACAAATGCAAATCTACCATAGGGAAACAGTGAGCAATCAGCATAGGAACTGTGAGCATTATGTTACACAAGTACTGTTCTATGGTATCCCAAGGACAGGTTGCTAAATGACAAGATGAGCCTTCCCTGGAAACAAACCGAAACTGTCTCTATTTTCCGCTGGTTACAACTTTTAATAAAGTTGTTACATCTTGGCTTAACGTGTTTATGATGTATTAAAACGTTACAACTTGCTATATTGGTTGTTATAACTGGTTAGGAGGGGTTAAAACTTGTTCGAACATTGCACCAACGTCGTAGTTTCGGCGTGTTTGGCGGGTTATGTCTGGCAATGAGCCAGAATTCGGCTCATCTCCCTCATATTCACTTTCCTCCAAGTGGACAAATGCAAAAACAAAAGTATGGATGAAATTTATTGATAACATTACAGTATATACACAAAGCACAATTTTTTATTTCATAGGAAATCATGTCCTAGAACTGAAAGATCTGTTTTCTACATTTTCGTAAGGAGACACCAAACCAGGGATGAATTTTATCAGAGGTCACACACATTCTACAGAATTTATACACAAGTATACTTTTAACTAGACCAATAGTTAGTGTGTACATGTGGTATATTTTGAAAGAGTTAAAGAAAAAAACTCCATTTATAAATAATAAACAAGAGCATTTTGTATTGGAGTATCTTTCAGGACAGTTACTATACTACAGCGACCAATTTTCATATGCTATATATATATATATCAAAATTTTTTGCTCAAAACACTAATGAGCCCATAAAAGTAAATTGCTCCGTTAAAAACTCAATATTCAAAAGCGTCAGATTTACATACCAGAAAACGCGACACCTTGTATGTATGTATTTCAATCTGTTACACCGAAATCTTTCATAATAAAACCATTTGACATCAAATACACGGTAATCTTGTTAAAGCATACCATTATGCCCACGTTCATCTTAGTCTTTGGAATTGATAGATACCAAATTCAATACAATTTCTCTAAACTTGTTATATATATAAATCAGACTCCGGGATTAAATAATAATCCTAGTACTGTCACTTAAAAAAAAAAACTGTGCCCATTTTACAGTGCTTACAAAGGGGTGGGGGGTAGGATTTTATACGAGTACTTATTTCTTTGACCCTTTTCATGTTTCACTACTTTTTTCAATGCAGATATTGTAAGGGATGATGGATAAACATTCACATGCTCAGAAGACCAGCTGATAAAAGAGTTCTTCTGCAAATTGTTAAATTTCAAAGTAATATATGCTCCAATTGAATTCATATGAATCTTACAGCTTACACTGCACAAACCATTGAGAGCCCTTTTAATCTTTCAGATCACAAAAATATATTGGTTAAAAAAATGCATATGCCACTACTCAAATACACTAGAGCCACACAACACTGGCTTCAGAATCCAAAATTATGAAAAGCGATACATACCACTGACCAAGAGAAGCACCAAATTATGCAAATATAAAAGCTCCAAACAACAAAGATATCTATCACAGCACACAAAATCTTGCACCAAAGAAAAAGATGTTTTCACTTTCCAATTTTACAGTGTACTAGAGCTGCACAGTGAGCACAAAGATTCAATTTTATGTATAGATGAGGAAAAAAATAGTTTAATCACTTTCAGTACCAATATTCCTTCAATATCTTGTTAAACATACTCGAGATCCACACTTGCAAAGGAGGCCAAATTTGTTATTTGTCAGTGTAAGCAAAGATTTGGCCAAACATTCACAGTATAATGCATGCATTCTTGCCGAAACCCAGAATTATCTTAGAATTCAGGCTTACAGACTGGAGTTACACAGCTGGAATCTGAATAGAGGCAAAAGCCTTGCATATGAATCGAAATATAATGATACGTATCAACACATGAATTGATCAGGGAAGCGAGATAGTATACTAACACACATTTATCACTTCAAAATTATCTTGCCAGAAATAATGAACACTTTATGCAGCTTACATGATAATAATAATAATAAGGTTCATAACTTGCAGAGGCAGAAAACAATAAAATATATTGAACTATAGGCTGCAGCACTGTAAATAGTCAAGAAGTAAAGACGAGCCTGAATAAGGGCAGCAGACATCCTACACTTTACCGTGTAAGATGGAGCATTCAGGCTCTCCTCCGATGGCTCGCCACCTACCCTACGGCACACAACACCTGACGCCATCATGTGCACAACACGTCACATCACATGAACCTTTGTGTACAAAAAGCCAATTTGAGTAAAGCTAACTACAGTATATTTGACTGGGATAACTAGTAACTGGATAGAAATTTACCTTCCAAGATGCTTAGGTTATGTTCACTTCCCAAGACTCGGCAGTTTTGGTGCACCGATATCAAATATTATTTGAAGATAAAACGATAACCCCTCGTTAGTGAGTTGCTATATGTGAGTGGGTAGGTTGCAAGGGTGAATGAGGAGAGGGCAGGTGTGGCATAGAAAGGGGGGGATGGGGCGACAGTGACGGTCCCTAGCCCAACGACGAGGGCTAGCCCTCCAGACAACACTTCCAATCCCTAGGTATCCTTCTTCATATCTTCACCTTCATCTTCATCCTGGAAACCATATAATTATATACTAAATATAAATATTAATGTTATACTTTCTAACGGCCAGAGCTGTACCTCTTACACTCATAAAAGGCTAGTGCCATTTTGCATAATAGCATTTGTTTATTTTCACTTGCCACATCTAAGCAAAAACTATGTATGCATTACTATGTTAAGAAAACTTAAGCAACTCTGGCTATTAGGCAAGACATGTATTATTTACTCCCATCCAAATGGATAGGAGTATCGAGACCAACCTCTAACCAACAATTTGATGCATTTGGCATACGCTTAGTCTGGCCCCATTTTCAACAAATGGCCTTTTTTTTTTTTTTTTTTTTTTTACAGGAAATAACATGACATTTATTATAGCACATCCTACATCAATGACAGCACTACAGCAACCATTTGGTCAAACATGCAAAAATGGACTGTTTGACCCAAAAAGTTAACGTTATGTATTAATGAATTAATCCAAATGGTATGCTAAAAACCATTTGAAACTAAAGCACCCACTCTTAGCTATTTCCCGGTATTGGGCAGCCAGGGCTCGTCCAACCCCTTGATCATCAACATATCCAAGGCATAAATCAACAATTCTAGGCTTAATAATATAAGAAACTTAAGTTTCATCACTAACTTCCTCTTCAACCCACACCCATCACCAAAATGTTTATACTGTATCCTGTGCACCATAAAATAAAACTAATCGGAAAGATTTTTCAAGTTATGAATGTCCCTAATCTCGTGAACTCACCTGAAAATTAAGCCAACTCTGCTCTACGATAGCAGCTACACGTTTTTCATATTCACGACGATTCTCCTGATAAAGCTGTGCCGCCAGACTGTTAGCTGGTGAATTAGGATTAGGTTCATCCAACAATGACTGCAGGGGCAAGAAAAAAACAAATTACCATAAACACTTCATGAAACAAGCTCATTAATTAGTGATGACAGGAATGAACATTATACACCAAACTGCAGTATACTAAGAATAACGTAAAACTATTGAACTCATACGCCTTCGTGGACCATCCCCAAAAGCCATTACTAAACCAATGATAAAGCAGTTTTAAGCACGTGAACGGGGAGAATCTTTCAATTCATATGCTTGAGACCGGCAACATTACAACCAAGAAGCCCATTAAACAATCCCAGACTAACAGCCCAGTTATTTATTTTGATACTGTACCATTTTCTCTATTCACAATTTATCAGGATAAATATGCATAATTATATATAGTGTATATTATATAAAATGTATATTTTCTGCTCTACATGACTTTCCACATTCATTAAATATTCTCTCAACCACAGTCCATCCTCAAACACTACAATTTACTTCCAAGTTTAAGAACACACATGTTATATGCATCGCTTGTCAAAACAGACTTTATGAACATAAATAATCACCTAACCCGGTGATGCTGATGAAGGCCAGCATGCCAAAGGCTCATTTCTTTTAGCCTCTGCATATTATCTCTGAATTTCTCTGCACATCTTCTCAAAATGCAGATTTCCATTTCAATCAATTTTATCCTAAAAAAAATACCGTTATCCTAGAGACTAACATTTTCCCCACACTCACTCCATACCTTTTTCTTATCTGCATTTAATCATTTCTGCATGTACCTCATCAATACCTGCAGCTTTGCCACATTTCAACTTCTTCACTGATGCATGTCCTCCTCCCGTAGATCTAACTGCACGTGTTCTCTTGCACTTGTCTCGCACCAGTAAAACCAAAACTTACAGTGTTTCATCTAACCTCATTTGGAAAGTGCAGCAAGGATACTGGTGGAAAAGTAAACAATGCTAAATAAGCACGGGACAATGCTAACTGGACAAAATGACAGGCGGAGAACTTCAAATTTCTAACAAGCGGGACGTTTACAGGACAAGTTACGTAAAACATTTGACCTACCACGATATATCCAAATCTACCGAAGCATAGTATTCTTTGAGCAGTAACCAAAAGATGCCAATCTCAAAGCAAGGGTGAATTCAACATTCATCACTAACATGGAAATATAAAAAACAGAAGCTATATCAACAGAAAACTAAGAAAAATTGCACTAGTGTGTTTATATGAAACGGACTACTAACCTGTATGGACGTAAGAATGGCTGCTACATCGTATGTTGGGGACCATCTGTTTTGAAGAATATCCAAACAGATCCCACCATCTGCATAAACATTTGGGTGGAACATCTTGCTCACAAATTTAACTGTAGGAGGTTTATTAGGATATTCTTCTGTGAATTCCAACGTAAGTTTAAATGTACCATCCTCAAAAGGAGTATCATGTGGCCTGTAGAAGTAAAATAATGAATAGGATTATTAAACCCACCTATTTAAATTTAAATAATGCGATATAAATGAAGTCTAAGATTGTCATAACCATTTAACTTTACAAAGAGCCTTTTTAACTTTAGAAGAAATACCAGTATAGTATCTCTTCATCTTCAAACCAACTTTGCTTTGCCCTCTTAACAGATGAGCACTTATGAAATTTAACAATTTATTACCCCCCAAACTGATCACACTCCTATTTATGCACTTCCTTCAACTTTGTCTGCATTAAATACCTTCCCCTTTTAGGATAAGCTTATATGAAAAAACCCTTGTTAGACATGTACAACATTTGTAAATTAAACACCTTGCCTGCCAACAATTAGGAATGGGGTATTGGGTAGGTACTGTACCATGGCCCAGGTGAAAACCATGAAGGGAATACACAGTAGAGTGAATGAACCTGGTTACAATCATAGTGAATACTGTATACAGTAGACGGCATGGCTTTGCCGACAATCATGAAGGATATACAGTAGATGAAACGAGTTATGAAGAGACTAGAGGCGTTAAATATGCCAAATATAGAAGAAAGCGAGGCGATATGATCACCACTTACAAAATAACTAACAGATTAATTTGACAGGAATTCTGGAAAAAAAGGGGGTCCAACTAAAGCTAAGGCACTCAAAAATGAAAGTTTTCTTTTGCAATTAGTAGTAGATGGTTGGAACGTTTAAAAAGTTGTCGAGGCCAAAACTTTAGTTTCAAAGTATTATGCAACAGCGTACTGGAAAGATGGGAGGGACACCATGAGCATAGTTCTCATCCTGTAACTACACTTAGATAATTACAAACACAGGTAAAAGACAGGAGAGTTAGACGAGACATATAACCTAAAAAATTCTCAGGAATTGACACAGTAGATAAAGATAAAATACTTAGCATGGTGGTGCATGAACACAGGGACAAGTGGAAACTTAGTAACTAAATGAGCCACAGCAATGTTAGAACTTTTTCCAAGTGTCAGAGGTTAACAAATAGAATGCATTAGGATGTAATGTGGAGGAGGCAGATGTAATGTGGTGGAGGCAGATGCCATACCATTTTAAATAGATATGGCAGTCCAATAGGCTCGGGAATCTGTACACCAAGTTTGACAGTTGAAAGGCGGGACCAAAGGGCCGAAGTTCAACTCTTGCAAGCCCAACTAGGCAAGTACACCCACAAACTTATTTATGACCCCTGACATGTAAGAACAGGAAGTTGCACGTAACAAGTGAAGCTTTGTAACTGCTCCATGGTGGGGGAAGTGTGTGTGGGTGTTACACCAAGAATGATAACAGCTGACACCATCCTAAATACATAATGTTAACATTGTATCTAGCATCAAATATAGCCATCCAAGCACCTCACCTTAAGTGAAAGATGGTAAAAATGCAAATCTTTGCCTCTATCTTTAATTTATTATACATTAATGCATCTAGTAATATAAAGTCTGTACAAAGTAAATCATCATCTAGTTGTGTAGATTATGCAAGCACAATCTTTTAAAATACCTTCATGGCCATTGAAGGATGCAAAAGTAAAAATTTCATTGAATCCTACACGCATCTTTGTATTTAAGTGTTAAAGTATTACACAAAGACACCCATGCAAATTTGTTTTTATTATTTCGCCACCTTCTAATTAAAGTGACAATGTGTAGAATTCTTGCACATTATTTAACCAGATTTTCCCTTACTGTACGTGGATAAAAGAATACATTAGCATAAATCCCAGACTGTAGAAGTCATACAAAAAAAATTTATGCACATTAAGCTAATTTATATTTCGGTACAGTAAATAAAAATGAAGTGAAACTCTTACCCAAAGATTACTGCATTCCAGATCATAATATTGTTCTCTGTTGGAGCAGCGCTAACGCCTGCAGGTGGGTCTTGCTGAAGCCTGTAAATAAAGGTATACATGTATCAGATCTCAAATATACTAAATTTTTAATAATTGGAAAGAATTTATTTACAGCTGACAGCAATAATGCAAATACAAAAATTAAGTTCTTGCCCTTATTTTCACCTTGTCAACAAGTGAACTCCATTTAATATATTGCCCACAGTTAATTTAGCTTACTTTTGTCTTTAAATCAAATAAACATATTTCTCAGGCAGCAAACACTAAGTTTCCAATGTAGGATAGACAATCTTGTGGAAATCCATCGAACAGTACAAACTTTAATTTTCCTTAAGTACTATACGTGAGCTAACAAATACTACCTATGACCACAGTACTGTATACTAAAATCTAAACGCTTTACTGAAAATAATAGCACAAAAATCAGTTTTAGTTTCATTTAATATAGTTTTTATTTTAGTTAAAGTTACAGTTTTCATTAAGCGCAGGACATTTAGCAGCACCTAGAGTCAAATTGAAGTATAGAACAAAAATTTACTATTCATAAAATAAAAAGAACTGACGATTATCACAGGGTAATCTGTATACTCTAAAAGTAGAGAGAGCTCCAGAAGAGCTTTTTGAAAGAACAGTGTTCAGATGCAATTGCAATTCAGACGATACAAAGATCATGCAAACTCCCTTTAGCAAAGGGACAAATCATATGGCCAGTCATGGGCTCAAAAGATAAGTGGCACTTCACTTCAGTGTATATAAAATAATGTTATAGATTACAATGTTTATTTAGTGTGTACTGCTGTATTGCATCAAGGGTTTAATGCTATAAGCACAATGTACATTTTTTAGTGTATACTCCATTATATGGCTCCAGGCACAATGAAATTGTTTTTAAATGGCTAGCCTGACTTCAGATATAACAGAATTTGGGATGAAATGTAAGGGGAGAGGGGACATGCTTTATAACCACACTTAGTTGTATAAAAATCAGGACGATAACTAAAATCAAAACGATAAGCACATTACTCTGGGGATCAGCGCATGATTAAGGGGTTAAACATTTGAGGTATCTTAAATTGTTGTACCATCATTTGTGCTTGCCATTGAACGCCTTCAAAATGCCAATATCCTTTTTCAAATATGGTAATTAAAACCCGTCTGCAATATCCGCTATTAAAAAGGAGGCACCAACAGAATTATACTTTGGATTCATCAGCCGTGTATTATCCAAGTGACACGATGGAAGGCCTATGCTATATTCCATATTTGAAAGACTAATATGTACTTAAAAATAAGACTGGGAAGCCTAGAACATTATTTCAAGATTGTGACAACAATGGATACAATAAGGCAGCATTTTTCCAACCTGTGTGTCCTGAATGGTTCACAGGAATGCCTGTGGAGTTTGAGGGAGGGTAGAAAAAGCAAGAATAAAGATTAAGTCAGATAGGCAAATTTTTTAAAGTTCAATACCCATGGTTTTAGTAAAGGCCACCCGACAACTCTGACCTGGTCTTATTATAATTTATCATCCGTTATTTGGAACGGACATTTTATTTCACGCAAGTCTGCACTAATGCAGCTTCTTGGGTCATTGCTACTACATTAAAAGATCAATAACTTAAAAAATTAAAGGATCCTAACATTACAATTTTTAATAAAATCTTAAACCACTGATAGTGTGCCTTGGCAAATTTAGTGCCTCATTTCACAAGGTGAAAAGGCTTTAAACACTAAGGAAGTGTTTATTTTAAAGTAAAAACACAAAACACACACACATACACATATATACATATATACATATATATATACATAATCTGAAGCAGGAAGTCCAGTACAAAATTTCAAAGTAAAATATGTTCAACAGCTGGCAATACCAGTAACAAACCTGGTCACTACAAGTGCTGCACGGGTACGAGTAACACACAGGCTTGGCCATACCCATGTCCAATATGTGTATATAGGAGTTGCATTAGATTACAAGACACTTTGGAAGATTCAGGTTCCGCAAATTAGTCGCTCATTTCTCAGATACTTGGAGTTTCAAGGATTTAATAATTTCCACAAAGCTTTTAGTTCTGTGTCTGGAGTTTAAGCCTTTCAGAGTCGTGCATGTCTCGGTGAAGGCCATGCCACATCTTGCCCTTCCAACAATCAAGAGCCGGTCAGCTGAGCGGACAGCACGCTGGACCTGTGATCCAGTGGTCCTGGGTTCGATCCCAGGTGCCGGCTAGAAACAATGGGCAGAGTTTCTTTCACCCTATGCCCCTGTTACCTAGCAGTAAAATAGGTACCTGGGTGTTAGTCAGCTGTCACGGGCTGCTTCCTGGGGGTGGAGGCCTGGTCGACGACTGGGCCGCAGGGACACTTAAAAAGCCCCGAAATCATCTCAAAATAACCCTAGGCAATGTATGTAATAGTATTTACTGGTTTGTTAAATAAACTGCCTTTTGTGAAGCAGTTATTTAAACTATTTTGCCTGCTTGAGGTGCTGCCCGAGCAAGAGTCCATTAAAAAAGTTTTCCATACATAATAATTTCAGTTAAATCCATAATGAGTCAGTATAACAGCTCAATAACATTATTTAATACACGTTTGTAGCCATAATGCTTCATAATAACTTAGAGAAATCTTTACACCTAGGAGCCCCTTATGGAGTTGAAATAAAAAATATATGTAGTTGCGAGAAGTTGGTACATATAAGACGAGGAATAACGGGATATATTAGTGTGTGTAATGGGCGCGTGACGGGCGTGGGCGTGTGGGCGTCGGGCAGCCCACAACTACGCCACAACACCACAGTATTTATAGCAACACAACAAAGAACTTGCAGCAAACAGTGAAGTCACCCCCTCCCCCCCCCCTTATGAGGAGACGTCCCTCACACCTCACATAAGCCATTACCACCCCCTTAAGTCTCCCCTTACCACCAGGGGCGCCCCTTAGCCCCCTAGTCGCCCCCCTTGAGGCCGGGGGCAGCGCCCCCGCCATAATAAATAAGGCGGGGCAGGAAACAAGGTCACAGCTGATGGAGGAGGAAGATGATGTCTCACCTCTTGAAGTCCCTCATAAGACGCCGTCTGGCCGGGGTGGACATCCCGCTCGTGTCTTACAAGTCGTCTCTTAGCTCCTGGGCCGGGCACTACACTACACTCACTCTTACCCACGCCTCCACTCATACATTAAGGCCTGGACAAGCGTCGTCACTCTCAAGCAAACCCCTCAACGCTTTCCCAATGTTTGTGACGTCACTGCCCACCATGACGTAAGCCCACAATGCTCTAGGGCGGGACAGGCGCCTCGCGGCTTGCGCAGGCTCCTCCTAAGGGCATATTTACCCTGATTTTCACTCATATATTATATTTCTGGCCCCTATTTTGTCTTTCTCTTATATATATTATATTTCCCCACCTCCCCCTTGTATAAATAACTTGTTCTAAACGCTATGTGTACTAGTGGCTTTAAATATTATATTTACTACCTCTATCTTTAAATCTAATAGAATGTACTGTAACGCTGCAACTATGTATATACTGTTCCTAAATAAATTATTATTATTATTATTATTACCTTCTATATCATATTCTGCAATTTTTGTATATGTATTAATTCCTTTACTTCCATTTTCTGTTGGAGACTGCTGCTATTTTCTTATATGCGTTATGACTTTTATTTTACAAGTAAATACCACAAAAAATTGATGGTAATAATATATGTAAATATATATAATAATGTAAAATTTGATATAAATAAGAAGTAGCGTATTTCACAACATGGTGAACTCGGGTTCCACTGATAATATTGCGAGGGATTCCACCGCTAACTTTGAATTTCCCTTTTGAAGAACTGTTATATATAAAATAGGCATTATTTGACAGGATTCTTATAGAAACTGATAAAAATAATTATAATATAATATTTCCATGATTCAGTGCTTAGCTGTGATGAAAATCATATATTTATTTTTGTACTGAAGCTAGTAATTTCTCCCCTGATTCCATATATGACTAACCATCCTGATGCGAATATTAGATTCAAATTCAAATTCAAAATCTTTATTCAGGAAATATGAACCTATTGTTAGTTTTTGAGCTACACAGCGTCATCTTCCATATAGAATAGGGTAGCAGCACATTGCTGTGTATACCTAAGCTTGTTAATAAAACAAAATTGACTACTTACTGCAGTGTTTACTTTTGTACACTCACAGCCCCGCTCCTATGCCAGGTCAGTCCACTACGGGCTCACCATAGCCCGTGCTACTTGCAACTTGTTCCGAGTAGCTGAATCTATAACAACAACAACGGCATAAGCCTAACTATATACAGTTAGACTTATATTAAGGCCCCCCCCCCCACACACACACAGAGGTACCACCTCTGGCTGGAAAAAGGGGGACCTCTTAGCCTCGGAGGAAAGCACACATAAGGCAGCTTCCCCATACTGCCAGTGGTGTCCAACCCTGCAGGATACAGTGGAACACCTTCACTACCCTCGATTTCATAGCGCTCGCTTCAGACTACAGAGTTCCGCCGTTCGTAGGCTGAATATTCCTCGCCTCACGATTGTGAGACGAGGAATCTCGTATCTTATCTCGTATCACGGTTCCCGTTCTCCTCGACGTGGCAGGTGCCAGAGACGATGTCCGCCATGACATCCTTCGCCATACCTTTCCGTTTCATGCGTCATGTCCGTGGCCTGAAGAGATTGTAGGGTGTGTGGCCTGAAGAGATTGTAGGGTGTGTGGCCTGAAGAGATTGTAGGGTGTGTGGCCTGAAGAGATTGTAGGGTGTGTGGCCTGAAGAGATTGTAGGGTGTGTGGCCTGAGGAGATTGTAGGGTGTGTGGCCTGAGGAGATTGTAGGGTGTGTGGCCTGAGGAGATTGTAGGGTGTGTGGCCTGAGGAGATTGTAGGGTGTGTGGCCTGAGGAGATTGTAGGGTGTGTGGCCTGAGGAGATTGTAGGGTGTGTGGCCTGAGGAGATTGTAGGGTGTGTGGCCTGAAGAGGCTATAGGGACCTCATCCCTCTTTGCTATTTCCCGGTATCAGGCAGCCGGGGCGCATATAATGTATAGTACCTTACTATAGTGATGCACTATACATTATATAGTGATTATCACCGAAGTTGATATTCATAATATTTTTCATTACTTTGTCTTATATGTAATGAGGTCAATAATTTCTAGTAGAATGCATTTCATCATATTTATATGTGATAGCCTAATAATGTGTGTTAAAGCTAATGTCTAAATTGACGTGAATTGTATTATTTTGATGGCAGTACAATATTGCATTAATTTTTAGATTCTTGATACCTGACATGTTAATAAACTTTATTAAACTATTTCGTGCGATATAATTGGCCATTGTTATCCTTAGATTGGCCAGAACTAGCTGTTACAATAAGTGAGTGACGCTTTACACACTAAAAATTGCATATTTTTACGAGGAAGTTTAGCAAAGGGACATTTGTTTTTGCTCATTGCTAGCCATCACAGTTGAGTGTACTACTATTAATCAGGTCGTAACTACGTTTAGAAATGATTTCATATATTAGTATTCCCCCAAAACCTAGCAAAGAACATAATTTTCAAGATGCTTAGTTAGCTAAATTGGTGATAAGGGTTTCAGAATGTAGATCTTCGCTATAGACATGCTGGCAAAAGCTGGACTATTTCTTTTATTTTTTCTGATTGAATTAAGATATTCTTTTGTAAGTGCATTCCATTGCCAATATCGTATCTTAATGTGTGAGCGCGCAGTATGGAGCGCTCTCCATACTGCGTGATATAGAAAGTGATAGTGATATATAGCACGCGAGATATAGAGCGATATAGCATCATTCTGGAGCAGTATAATTAAGATCAGGAATTGGTAAACTGTGTTCATTTTGAGATAAGACACCTGAATGACAATAAAAGCCAATGTGATTAATATCTTAAATTCAGAGGTAAGATAATTACTCAAAAGATAGTTAAATAATCTTACCTGAACACTAAAGCACGGTTAATGAATTCACAAAGTAATTGAGAAAACTTGAGTTGTGTTCAACGTTAATTAACCTTCCATTGCCTGAACACAATACCTGTCTTCAACTCATCAACTATTAAGAAGCTATTACCTACCCTGTCTTAAATTAAAATGCTTTATTCTAAATAATTATACTCGTTTTATTGTTATATTAAATTCGAACTCAAACACTGAGTTATATAGTTGAGGAATTACCTGTCATCCCAGCCAATATTAATGAAGATGTAAGTCATTTGTTATGCTCTACAATGAAAAGATGTACACCCATAATTACCGCCAAATTACGTCTCCCTGTAATGTTAAAGGATTAACAGAACGATAACTCAGTTTATGTAATATTTTATTGACAAGATGATACAAAACTGGCATGACAACAAATGCATATTTGAATTACCTGTAGGTCAAAATATATTGAATTACTGTTAATGAAGCATGTGTAGAGCAACAGCAGCCATTTTGCTTACAATGTTAATTTTCTCTCGCATATTCCCTTCATTACTCTATATATATACAGGGAATCTATCAAGACACTCGGACGGAAACTGCTACTGCTATGTAATGTGAAGAGTGAGAATGATATAGCATCAATAAGAGCCCCCGACGGCATATGGTAGCATCAATTCAGAACATCAATACACTAGGCTGCTTGTACAAGCCTCATCTACACTACCACAACCCACATAATTATCTTCAACTTAACGGCCAAACTTGGCCACAAACCGGTTACAAGACTTAAAACAAATATGACTGGCTCATGTATTACTCAATATTAAATCTCGTATCTTAACATAATTGACGCCATAACCAAAGCCTAACTCTTATCGCTACATATTCTCACTCCATAGGTCTACGGACATTTTTTAAAAATATTTCTAAAATACAAAAATTACAATCCTTGAGATTACAGTATTTAAAATAAAGCTGTCCACTAATACTTATATATTAATAGCACATGACACTTTACATTTGGCAAAAAAATCCATGATATGGCATCATGTAAAACTATAGCCTAACTAATATTTTCAACATAAAAACTTGCGGATAATCTATACAATTTATTTAAAATATACACATTCAACTTACCATACAAAATACATTTTATGCATGAATGCAACATTCTAGCAAATGTTCCACAGCATTAAAATGTCAGTTAATATAATGTACAAAGGTGATTACAAGTAATGATCGAGTTATGGACGGCAACTAAAAACACAATAGAGGCATTCCAGAGCATACAACCCTCAGTAGTATTTGGTTAGAGGTGAGGAAAAAAGAGTCTCTGAGGTAAATGCGGAAGCCAACGGGTGAAGATACTGCTAACGATGAGGACGGCCAGATTCACGAAGCGGTTACACGAGCACTGACGAACGTGTACATCTTTCCTCAATCTTTGACGGGTTTGGTTACATTTATTAAACAGTTTACAAGCATGAAAACTTGCCAATCACCTGTTCTTATTGTTATAAACAGCCTCCTGGTGCTTCGGAGCTCATTAACCGTTTAATAATTGTAAACAAAGCCGCCAAAAGTTGAGAAAAGATGTACAGGTTCGTAAGTGCTTGCGTAACTGCTTCGTGAATCTGGCCCGAGAAGATGAAGAGGAGACGACGTTTCGGCCCCGTCCTGGAGCAGGACGGACCGAAACGTCGTTGTCTCTTGATTCTTTCCGATAAGTGATGAAGCCAAGAGTTAAGAATCTTTGAGGTAAGTAAGGAAGCCAACAGAAGGTTCTTTTAAGGCCAAAATACGTTCTTTGTAATAGCACAAGATTGTTAACGGCCCAAATGCTTCGATTCAGGTCACGTGACGCTGCTCTCACACACCATTAAAGCTAAGTCGACGGTTCATCTTGTAAATTTAACTTGTATTCAAAGTTTAACATAAGGCACCTAGGATTAACAACGCTGTATAAATGAGAGCTGAGTGAGAACAGCATTGTACCACTTACGGGCTATTCATGCCCGTGCCACCTCTTGGGTGGCTTAATCTTTATCAATCAATCAATCGAGAACAGCATTTAACCGTCGCCAAACAATGCGTCAGCTACGCCACTTACAGCGTAAAGGCCAAGAGGTATGATGCATGTTATAAGGTATACTGAACGCTTGAGTTATATAGTAAGTTCTCATTATATAAAAGGTCAAGATAAATTACCTAACTAAAGAAATGCATATTAAGTATGGGGGCGGAGGAGGGAGTGAAGGTGGACCTCAAGCGCCTCAAACTTGAGGCATCTGTATCCCAGCTCTAGGTGTCTTGTTGCTGTTTTAGATTTAGCTACTCAGAACGACGTGTCCATGTAGCACGGGCTAAGGTGAGCCCGTAATCTAGGTCTCTCTCGATGCTGCACTATATTGCTCTCCAACGACCACACCTCACAACACAACTTCACACTCTTACTCCTTCAATAAGCCTCATAGCACTTCAAATAAAGCTCATTTCACTCCCCCTCACTATACTCCACTCCTAAACTCTAACACTATGGCACATTGAAACCTTCGCAACACATGGCAATACATAACATTATTACTCGAACTTGCTGTTTAACTGCTTAAAGTGGCAAGTCACCCTGCTGTAGGTGTACCAGGCTAGGTGGGTTGCTACCCACTAGGTAGTCACAGTGCTACAGCAGGTGGGCCACACCACCTGACTCAAACACTGCAGCAGTACATGGGTGAGTCAAGTGAGGTGGGCCACACCATCTGACACAAACACTGCAGCAGTACATGGGTGAATCAAGTGAGGTGGGCCACACCATCTGACACAAACACTACAGCAGTACATGGGTGAGTCAAGTGAGGTGGGCCACACCACCTGACACAAACACTGCAGCAGTACATGGGTGAGTCAGGTGAGGTGGGCCACACCATCTGACACAAACACTGCAGCAGTACATGGGTGAATCAAGTGAGGTGGGCCACACCATCTGACACAAACACTGGTTTAACAGGTGGTAAGCCAGGTGGTGGACCACTTGGAGCTCAACCTCAGCTCACAACTGCGAGGCTGGGAGAGCTCTCTCACTACCTTCTGAGCCTGTTCTGTGCTTTCCACCTTCCAGTCGAGTTATAAATGTTACGAGCGTGAGTGTCAGAGACATCCAGTAGAGTTAATAAATAGTTTGATAATGACTACATGTGGTATAGGACGTACTGGTGTGACTTTCGAAGTCACGTCACCGGACGTTTGAGGAAACTACCTGGTATTTTCTCTCACAGAGCTTTTAATATTATTTTACTCGGGATCTAACCAAAAGCTTTGTAAAAAGAGTATAACGTACAAATGTTTGGTATGATTAGTTGATCCGGAAATCTTCACGCATCAGCCGTATAAAACTACATCTAAGTTTAGCACCATTGCTTCAGCGGCTGTTCCAGTCTCTTATGGGGATGAGAACAGCACCGTCCCGCGTGATATTTGAGGCGACCTTTCCCCTGTCTTTCTCTGTCACAACGTTGTCATCCTGCTCCCTCCACCTCTGTGACTGGGTCGGGGGGTCGTTGGAGTCAGAGCCCCTTCTGGTCAGCGAGGCCGGGCCTTGGTCCTGTCTGTTACGGAAGGAGGTGGAGTACAACAGAGAAGATCCTCCAGAAGATTTTAGGTTAAATTTGGGCCGATTAAGGGAGCTTGTTCCATTGTTGTTGTTCAAGACGGCGTTACGATGGTATTGGGAACTAAGACTGTTGCGTTGGTTGGAAGCGGTATCCCTGCGGCTACTCGAGTTGTTATCCCGGTAGTTACTGGTGAGGCTTTCCCGGGGCCGTCCTAGACTGCTGAAGCGATTGTTGCTCTCCTGGGACAGTGATGGGTTGCGCTTTTGAGATCCCGCCTCTCCTCGTCCGAATGTGAAGATGCGAGGTGCTGAAGCTGGTGGCGAGGTGGCCGGTGGGGAAGTCAGCGGCGACTCTGGAGGTCGAATCAGTTGCGGTGGAGATTCTGGTGGGTTGAAAGACTGGCGAGTGGTGTTAGGACCATTGTCATTATCCTGCTTATCCACCTCATCACCATGAATAAAATGGAAGAGCTCTGGAGCGGATGTTAAGAGGCCTTTCATGAATCTGTTCCTCTTTTCATCTTCCCGGTTATCTTGGCCATTCACAGTGAGGGGGTTATGGTTGTTATAGGCGGCAGTGTTACGCGAAGAACTAACTGTTGTGTGACGCGGGGAGCTGTGCCGTTCACCAGGAGGTGGAGACTCCTCTCGGTCGTAGTCACCATTCTGGTCTTCAGGAGTTCGTCTGGTGGAGTTGGAGCGAGCAATGGTGGCAATAAGATTGGGGCTTCTCAGATTGAGGTATGGGGAAGACTTATATACAGTGGATGTGCGCTGGTGGCTAGAAAGACCATTACTCGTTGACACTCCTACTGGAGATGACACAATGCTCAGGGGTGCCGGCTTTACATTTAGACTCTGACTTCTAATGACAGGGCGGATACTTCTTGAAGGTGACTGACTGTCCATTGAAGGTGAGTGCCTGTCCCTTGGAGGTGAGTGCCTGTCCCGTGGAGGCGAGTGCCGGTCCCTTGGAGGCGAGTGCTTGTCCCGTGGAGGCGAGTGCTTGTCCCGTGGAGGCGAGTGCCTGTCCCGTGGAGGCGAGCGCCTGTCCTTTGAAGGTGGGTGCCTGTCCTTTGGAGGTGACTGTCTATCTTCTCGTGGTGAGTGTCTGTTCTCTGGCAGTAATTGTCTATCCTCTGGTTCTAGGTGAACCTTGCTCTTTGGAGAGGACATGCTGGCTAATGACACGTTGACCATAGATCCTCCATGAGTCCTTCGGAGGCGAGATGACGACTCTGGTCGTACGCGACCCACGCTCGAGGTAGTGTCTCCACCGAAGATATAAGTTTTGCTAGGAGACAAGGTACCATTCATCAGTTTTTTGGGAAGCGTTCGTGTCTCCGGCTCTTTTGTTTGTTGAGAGTAGTCACGAGGGCGGCGACGCGGATCGACTGTGTTAGTCCAGGAGGCATTGGGAGAGCTTTCCACGCCAGTACTTAGCTCATCCATGCTACGGTAATGCCAAGAACGGTTCTTCAAGATGGAATGGGGTTTTGTACTGTTGGTGTTGGATACTATCACAGGGGTGATTGTTTTGCTTGTGCGGAACTTTCTTTCAACTTTGGGAGATGACTGGTTATGTTTACTTGGCGTGCTCGTGTAAGACACGTTGGTTGTGGGTGCACTGGTGGTGGTTCTTAGTACTCTGTTAGAGGAAGACGTTGAAGATGAAGAATCCTGCCCAAAGTAGTACGTTTTAGGTTTGTTCTTTTTCTTGGTACGAGGTGGTGGTACTGGGGATGGATCAGTCTGGGTTCCTGAATCCCGCGCAATTGTTTGTGATGCAAACGTAGAGGTTTTAGATAACTTCGAGGACCTGGTGGGTGCAGTATTGTAATGAGTATAATTCGTATTAGCAGAGTGTGATATGCGTTGACGAGGGGGAGGAGGAGGGGTGGATTCTCTGGGGGTTTCGGGTGAGACATCCCTCTGTGACGGGGGCCAGCGTCTGGCAGGTCTGTGACCCACTGTGTCCAGCTGCTCCTCACTACGGTACTCCTTCAATCGTGAGTCCATAAGACGAGATGATGAGATCTTTGAGTTACTATTCATCCAGTTCTTTGAGTTTACGTTGAATGACTGGGATCTGTTGACATTGTTGCTTGGTGGGGGAGGTGGAGAGGCTGGGAGAGGAGGCGGGGGGCTGTCTGGAGGGGACTGTGCTGCAGGCCGGGAACCTCTGTTGGGCGTGGAAAATAACCGTGTGGGCATGATGCCACTCGGGCTCCCAGTTTTGAATCTACTTCCGTATACTGGGCTATCGACGGGCTGACAGCGCTCTGTAGGGGAGACTGGAGGCGAACTAAATGTTCCTGCAGAGGTTGGCAATATGTGCATCCGATCTTGAAAGCTTGTGAACCTTGTTCCATTTGTGGCGGCGGGACTGATGGGAGGAGTGCCTTGATCACTGTCATCCAGGATGCGGCCAGTAGACCGGAGCCTCGCTCGGGCGGCAGCGATCATGGTGTCTGTGATCTCCTCACTATGTGGTGAAGACTGTTGATGTGATGACGCGGGCGGCGGCGGCGGTGTCCAAGCTGCAGCTGGTTTAGGGGGTGGTGGCGGCGGCGGTGCTTTAGACGCCTGCGAGTGGGTGTGTGCGAGTGATGATCCCGCCCTCCTGTGTATGGGCGGAGGAGGGGCATCGGGCTGGTCCTCGGGTGTGGCTGGCCGGGGACTCATGGTAATGGTGATGACGTTTCCGCCTACTGTTTGCACACCGCCCTCCTCTTCAGGCTCGTGCTGGGAGCTGCCGGAACGACCCGACTCGCTGCCGAAGTGGTTCTCCAACCAGCGGTTGGTCTCTGATTTGCGGGTCTCCTCCTCCTGGTGGTAGTCGAGAGGGCGGCGAGTAAGGGCGTCGGTACGCTCGGGAGTGTCCCGGGGCTTGGGTTTAAGGGTCCCGAGGCGGCGAGCTCGGCGAAGTCTCTCACTAAGGGAGTCAAGGTCTTCTCCCTCCCGGTCCTCGTGGAAGTCCTCACTCACCACATGCATCCCCTCTCCAAGCTGCCGGAATACAACACATTAGTATACACTATGCCACACACATATCTTTATACGCCATGTGTGCGGAGTGACACATGGCGTGCAGTATGATACACACGTTAATCACATATGTCACACACATATCTTTATACGCCATGTGTACGGAGTGACACATGGCGTGCAGTATGATACACACGTTAATCACATATGTCACACACATATCTTTATACGCCATGTGTACGGAGTGACGCATGGCGTGCAGTATGATACACACGTTAATCACATATGTCACACACATATCTTTATACGCCATGTGTACGGAGTGACGCATGGCGTGCAGTATGATACACACGTTAATCACATATGTCAGAACAGCTCTGTGCAATATAACGGCTGGTAGTGATATGTTCATGCTATTATTAATTTAGTAAAGCCCAATAAAGCTCAATAATACTCGAATATATTTACACACCAACTTTCCTAAACATGAATTCAATTCGTTTCTCATAGTTGGGAGCTGGGGGACAGGAAGCCTGTTAGGGTCATTGAGGTCCCCCCTCGTAAACCAACCATTGACCTTCCCCCAGCATGCCTGAAGACTTATATACAGTGGATGTGCGCCCACAACAGTTGCCTAGCTCCTAGGTCAGTGTGCCTAGTACCTAGGTCAGTGGGTCTGTGCTCACGTCATTTCAGTCACAGTCAAGGCTTTGTATCATATATCTTCATGAACAAATCGACAGGAGCCGTGAAGAGGGTTCGAAATACACTTAATAGTGTTGTATTTAGGGGCAATGTTGACTTACTGCAGCACTAGTGCCTAAATAGTGGTGTAGTAGCTTCTCGGAGTCTTCTAGGAGTCTCGCAGTAGTGGTCTAGTGTTTCCTTGAACTCACAAATAGATTATTATCGGCCTGTTAATAGTCTACCAGCAGTCTACGAGTGGTCTGTTAGTTGTCTACTTGTAGTTAATTAGTAGTCTACTAGTAGCTTACTAGTTATCTCCTAGTGGTTTATCAACACAACCTGTCCTCTTAAAAAGAACGTCGCTTTTGGCCGTTTGCCTGTATGGCCGAATTTGGACGTAATTTGAAAATGAAAATAAATTTGGTATTTTTTTTTCAACAACAGTAAGTTAAGGGTCCTCTGATAGGTTAGGTGGGCAGGAAATTTTCATAAAGTTTCAAAACGTTATGAAAAACGTTAATTTAAAGTGTCCTCTTATAACCTCTGCGCGTACGCCGGACAACTCAAACAGAAAACGGAACAGAACGTCACTTTTGTGAGTCGATTTCATTTCAAATTACGTCCAAATTTAGCTATATCGCGCATACGAGCCAAAAGTGACGTTATTTTTAAGAGGACGGGTTGTATACATAGCCTACTAGGGGGTGTATTTGTCTACTTGCGGTCTAATAGTGGAGTCCCCAGATGACTACATATTCTGGAAGCCTGCAGGTGGCCCTACACCTAGGCAGCCTGCAGGTGGCCCTACACCTAGGCAGCCTGCAGGTGGCCCTACACCTAGGCAGCCTGCAGGTGGCCCTACACCTAGGCAGCCTGCAGGTGGCCCTACACCTAGGCAGCCTGCAGGTGGCCCTACACCTAGGCAGCCTGCAGGTGGCCCTACACCTAGCTAGGCAGCCTGCAGGTGGCCCTACACCTAGCTAGGCAGCCTGCAGGTGGCCCTACACCTAGCTAGGCAGCCTGCAGGTGGCCCTACACCCCCCCGTGTGTAGAGCAGTGGTGAGTGCCCTAACCTTGACGCCCTGAGCTAGTGTACCGCCGCGGGGAACACCGTAGTACTCGACTAGGTCCTCGTCCTTGGTGTGTACGATGTTGTGGTGGGTCTCGCGGGCCTCTTCGTGCACCGACCCGTCGCTCAAGGACGACCCGGAGTCTGGCAAAGACTCGTTCTCGTAGTCCTCGTGCTGAGTCGTACGCTCCGTCTCCGTTACCACGTGTCCGTCCTGGAAGAAAAAATCTGGTTTATTTATGTTTATGTTTCCGTTACCACGTGTCCGTCCTGGAAGACAAACATTGATGAAGACAGGCACATTGCAATAGGCCCACTGCCACGGACCTATACATGACTGCTCCTATACATGACTGCACCTATATATGACTGCTCCTATACATGACTGGTCTTATACAATCATTTTCACTCATGGTTCCCAGTTTCCCAATGCCAGAGACAGGAATCCTGCTAGGCTTATCGAATCCCCCCCCCTCCTCCATCTACACAACATTCAGACAACCTTCACACAACATTTATACACCATTCACACAACATTTATACAACATTCACACAACATTTATACAACATTCACACAACCTTCACACAACATTTATACAACATTTACACAACCTAGAGGAGGGGAAATGGAGCCACCTGCGAGCCAGAGCCTTCATATGGTCTACTGACGCGATGCTTCGATTATTTCTGACTTTGTCCAGCCACTTGGGCTGGACGGTAGAGCGACGGTCTCGCTTCATGCAGGTCAGCGTTCAATCCCTGATCATCCAAGTGGTAGGACACCATATTTCTTTCCTCCTTCCTATCCTAAATCTTTTTTCCTGATTTCCCTTCCAAGAGTTATGTAATCGTAACAATAAGAAACAATGGGCAGAGTTTCTTTCACCCTATGCCCCTGTTACCTAGCAGTAAAATAGGTACCTGGGTGTTAGTCAGCTGTCACGGACTGCATGCTTCCTGGGGGTGGAGGCCTGGTCGAGGACCGGGCTGCGGGGACACTAAAAAGCCCCGAAATCATCTCAAGATAACCTATCGTAATGGTTTGGCGCTTACTCCTGATAGTTGCTTCACCTGTCAGTGAATGCAACTTTACCTGTCAGTAAGTGGAGCTTTACCCAAAGACTGTGATATACTGCAAGCAGGAAGAGACTGACCGCTCCTGTGCCAGGTAAGCTACGGGCTCACCATAGCCCGTGCTACTTGCAACTTGTTCCGAGTAGCTGAATCTTAAACAACAACAACTGAGTGCCCCTGGGGAAGTGAGAATGGCCGTCACTCTACCTAATAACACACTGGCCCCGCACCCTACCACCAAGGCTGATATAAGGGCGATATTGGCTTGTCCTCCAGTCCTCACGGGAGACATCTCCCGTCACGCAGGGTGCAGTCGCACCTCCACAGATCTCCAGTATCATCTATTGATACTGGAAATGGCTCAAAAGGGCCACCACTTACGGGCTATTCATGCCCATGCCACCTTTTGGGTGGCTTAATCTTCTCTCTCTCTCTCTCTTGTCCTCGAGGCTTGTTGGTGTGCACGGACCAGTGAAGAATGTTGGGGGTATAGCGCGAAAACGGTAAAGGACAAGTGACCTTCTATGTTGGTTAGTCACACCCCCACACACAGGTGGGGCTGGCCAGGGTGTGGGCCGCTTCTGAAGCTTCTTGGCGTGGGTGTGGCCCGCTACTGAAGCCTCTTGGCCAGCGTGTGTCCAGCTTCTGGAGCCAAATGGTGTGTCTAGTCACCTGTTTGGGGAGTTACCATAGCCCGCTATTTAACATCAGAGCCCTGTAAGCGGGGCCAGATTCACGAAGCAGTTACGCAAGCACTTACGAACGTGTACATCTTTCCTCAATCTTTGACGGCTTTGGTTACATTTATTAAACAGTTTACAAGCATGAAAACTTGCCAATCAACTGTTGTTATTGTTATAAACAGCCTCCTGGTGCTTCGGAGCTCATTAACTGTTTAATAATTGTAAACAAAGCCGTCAAAGATTGAGAAAAGATGTACAGGTTCGTAAGTGCTTCGCGAATCTGGCCCCAGTGAAGACAGGCTACACACACACACACACACACACACACACACACACACACACACACACACACACACACACACACACACAACTCTGTCTGTCTCTCTCTCTCTCTCTGTCTGTCTCTCTCTCTTTCTGTCTGTCTGTCTCTCTCTTTCTATCTCTGTCTGTCTGTCTGTCTCTGTCTATCTGTCTCTGTCTCTCTGTCTCTGTCTCTCTCTCTCTCTCTCTCTCTCTCTCTCTCTCTCTCTCTCTCTCTCTCTCTCTCTCTCTCTCTCTCTCTCTCTCTCTCTCTCTCTCTCTGTCTCTCTCTCTCTCTGTCGCTCTCTCTCTCTCTCTCTCTCTCTGTCTGTCTGTCTGTCTGTCTGTCTGTCTGTCTGTCTGTCTGTCTGTCTGTCTGTCTGTCTGTCTGTCTGTCTGTCTGTCTGTCTGTCTGTCTCTCTCTCTCTCTCTCTCTCTCTCTCTCTCTCTCTCTCTCTCTCTCTCTCTCTCTCTCTCTCTCTCTCTCTCTCTCTCTCCTCCTCTCCTCCCCTCCCTCTCCCTCTCTCTCTCTCTCTCTCTCTCTCTCTCTCTCTCTCTCTCTCTCTCTCTCTCTCTCTCTCTCTCTCTCTCTCTCTCTCTCCCTCCCTCTCCCTCTCACCTGGACGCGAGTGGTCTCGTGGAGGTCCTGGGTATCGACAGTGCCCCACTTGCGGGCTGACTGATGAACCAGCCGCTTCTGAGGGCGTGCCAGCTCCCAGCCCCCGCCCTCCCGCGCCTCCGTCAGCGCCCTCAGGTCGCCCTGGCCGCGGACGTGTTCCTCTACCTCCTGTAATCACAAAAATACAGTCAAGGTTACAGTCAAGGTTACAGTCAAGGTTACAGTCAAGGTTACAGCCAAGTCACACCCGGCAAGCGACATATGCAAAAAACAGGAATGGAAAATCATATATATATTTAATATGTATGGTCAAATGTATAGTTTAAAATACAAATACATATGGGAAAATTCATACATGTAAATTACACTGAAATATATAAATATTATATTGAGGTACATGAATTTTATGTATAATACTTTTAATCATGGGTCATTTTAATTATGTATTCTTCATGGTATTCATCGTATGTATGAGATGAGAGAGAGAGAGAGAGAGAGAGAGAGAGAGAGAGAGAGAGAGAGAGAGAGAGAGAGAGAGAGAGAGAGAGAGAGAGAGAGAGAGAGAGAGAGAGAGAGAGACAGAGAGAGAGAGAGAGAGAGAGAGAGAGAGAGAGAGAGAGAGAGAGAGAGAGAGAGAGAGAGAGAGAGAGAGAGAGAGAGAGAGAGAGAGAGAGAGAGAGAGAGAGAGAGAGAGAGAGACCTGATCAACACCTCCAAAATGATGCCTCTGATCAAGCAGGCTGTGACTCGTACATCAGACTACAATCAGCTGCACCTAACAGCCTGGTTAACCACCAACCAGGCATATTCGGAGACCGGGCCGCAGGGGACACTGATCCCCGCAACCAATACCAGGTAAACAGGCATGTAACTGAACACTATCCTAGGGGGGTAACTTATCCTAACCTATCCTGGCGAAGATAGAGACAATCCTGTGTTCTAAGTGGTCGAGGTGTGTGTGACGTCACTACGACGTCACAATGGTCATATTAGTACAGGTTTTAGACCCCACTAGAGGCCGGCTCGGCAGTGGGGCGTTGGACTCGCCCTCTTTTGTTTTCCCTCTTGAACGGCATCTTCCTCGTTTTCGTTTGAATTCCGCGCCAATTTTCCTGTTTCGGTCGCTTCTTGAATTTCTAGATCACTCCCCCGATTTTGAAAATACTTGTGTCGGCTGCTGTAATATTTATAATGATAAAAACCCGTCGTACTAACTGGCGTGTCGTTAAGGATTGCTTGTTTGGGTGGCCTGTTAATGTGCTTCAAATTTGGCGCGTAAAAGTGTGCGTGTGTGTTGTTTGATTTCCGCGCGAGAACGTTGTTTGCCTCGTGTGCGCAAATATATGTGCATTGTTTGCCTCGTGTGCGCAAATATATGTGCATTGTTTGCCCCGTGAGCGCAAATATGTGCATTGCTTGCCTGGTGTGCGCAAGCAGGCGCGTCGCTAATTGTCTCGTATGCGCAAATATGCGCATCGTGCTCTTCTTTTTCCGTCCGCGCCTGAGAGAGTTAGCCTCACCGAGCAAGTCTCAAGTCTTTAGGTCAGCCAGATTCACGAAGCAGTTACGCAAGCACTTACGAACCTGGGACCAGATTCACGAAGCAGTTATGCAAGTACTTACGAACCTGGGGCCAGATTCACGAAGCAGTTACGCAAGTACTTATGAACCTGGGGCCAGATTCACGAAGCAGTTACGCAAGTACTTATGAACCTGGGGCCAGATTCACGAAGCAGTTACGCAAGTACTTATGAACCTGGGGCCAGATTCACGAAGCAGTTACGCAAGTACTTATGAACCTGGGACCAGATTCACGAAGCAGTTACGCAAGCACTTACGAACCTGTACATCTTTTCTCAATCTTTGGCGGCTTTGTTTACAATTATTAAACAGTTAATGAGCTCCGAAGCACCAGGAGGCTGTTTATAACAATAACAACAGTTGATTGGCAAGTTTTCATGCTTGTAAACTGTTTAATAAATGTAACCAAAGCCGTCAAAGATTGAGGAAAGATGGACACGTTCGTAAGTACTTGCGTAACTGCTTCGTGAATCTGGTCCCAGGTTCGTAAGTACTTGCGTAACTGCTTCGTGAATCTGGCCCCAGGTTCGTAAGTACTTGCGTAAATGCTTCGTGAATCTGGCCCCAGGTTCGTAAGTACTTGCGTAACTGCTTCGTGAATCTGGCCCCAGGTTCGTAAGTACTTGCATAACTACTTCGTGAATCTGGTCCCAGGTTCGTAAGTACTTGCGTAACTGCTTCGTGAATCTGGTCCCAGGTTCGTAAGTACTTGCGTAACTGTTTCGTGAATCTGGCCCCAAGTTCGTAAGTACTTGCGTAAATGCTTCGTGAATCTGGTCCCAGGTTCGTAAGTACTTGCGTAACTGCTTCGTGAATCTGGCCCCAGGTTCATAAGTCCTTGCGTAAATGCTTCGTGAATCTGCCCCAGGTTCGTAAGTACTTGCGTAACTGCTTCGTGAATCTGGCTCCAGGACTTCCCTGATATACAAGTCCGTGGGTTTGACGCCTCGTGTTATCTTGAGGTTATCTTGAGATGATTTCGGGGCTTTAGTGTCCCCGCGGCCCGGTCCTCGACCAGGCCTCCACCCCCAGGAAGCAGCCCGTGACAGCTGACTAACACCCAGGTACCTATTTTACTGCTAGGTAACAGGGGGCATAGGGTGAAAGAAACTCTGCCCATTGTTTCTCGCCGGCGCCTGGGATCGAACCCGGGACCACAGGATCACAAGTCCAGTGTGCTGTCCGCTCGGCCGACCGGTTCCCTTGTATTCTTACAAGTAAATAAAAAAGTATTTTAAGTGAGTTCTGGATCACTTATAGTCTAGAGATGGGTACATGATGGGATGGATTAGAGTTGAGAGACGCTGGGAGAGGAATGGAAGGGGTGGAATGGATGAAAACTATCAAGGGGAAAGCGCTAAGTCATTACTATATAGCACTGGGAAGGGGGCCAGGATAAGTATTTGGGATGGGACGGTGGGAAGGAATGGTGTCCCAACCACTTATGGACGGTCAGAGGGGATTGAACGCCGACCAGCATGAAGGGAGATCGTCGCTCTACCGTCCAGCCCAAGTGGGGAGCCAGGAGGGTGTATAGAGAGGATCGGGACCAGCACAGACTAGGTGCTGTGTGCGGCGTGGCGGGGCGAGGTTGGTGGTGGTTTAAGTGTCCATATTAGGTTAGTTCTGGGCCTTCCAGTCATATATGACCGGGGCCTCCGCCTCCACCCGCACGCACACGCACGCACACACGCACACACGCACACGCACACACGCACACACACACACACACACACACACACACACACACACACACACACACACACACACACACACACACACACACACACACACACACAGGTGGAAACTGAGTGCCCAAATGAGCCACAGAGATATTAGAAAGAACATTTTTAGTGTCGGAGTGGTTGACAAATGGAATGCATTAGGCAGTGATGTGGTGGAGGCTGACTCCTAACCTAACCTAACCAAACCTAACCTAACCAAACCTAACCAAACCAAACCTAACCAAACCAAACCTAACCTAACCAAACCAAACCAAACCAAACCTAACCAAACCAAACCAAACCTAACCTAACCAAACCAAACCAAACCTAACCAAACCAAACCTAACCTAACCAAACCTAACCTAACCAAACCTAACCTAACCTAACCTAACCTAACCAAACCTAACCTAACCTAACCTAACCTAACCTAACCTAACCAAACCTAACCTAACCTAACCTAACCAAACCTAACCTAACCTAACCTAACCTAACCGAACCTAACCTAACCTAACCAAACCTAACCTAACCTAACCTAACCTAACCTAACCTAACCTAACCTAACCATAGGACTGTTGGCGCAAGAATTGGACATGTTTGGCTCCTCTTAAAGCCAAGATTTTCTTTATTCTTGAGCAACAAGTGATGATTTGCAGATTGACATGATGAATTGAGTGATGAGATGATGATGCAAGTGATGATGAGGCGATTGATTCTAATTTACAGAGTTTACAAAGCCCTTCAGGTCAGCTGTTTGGTCTGTTCTCACGTCGCTATAACATCCTTCGTCCGAACACTGATTTGTTCAAGTTGTTATCCACGAAGAACACCTCAGCGATTGCCGTGGGCAACATGTTGAACATTGCACATGTTATCTTGAGGTTATCTTGAGATGATTTCCAGGCTTTAGTGTCCCCACGGCCCGGTCCTCGACCAGGCCTCCACCCCCAGGAAGCAGCCCGTGACAGCTGACTAACACCCAGGTATTTATTTTACTGCTAGGTAACAGGGGCATAGGGTGAAAGAAACTCTGCCCATTGTTTCTCGCCGGCGCCCGGGATCGAACCCGGGACCACAGGATCACAAGTCCCTTGCTATCGTAACGACACACGTTTAATACAAACTGATATGAGGAAAATAAATTTGAGTTATGCAAAGGATTCGAACTCTCGAAATGCTGACTGCCAAGCCGCGCATCTTACCTCAGACACACTGCTACAGTAACACCACACACTGCTACAGTAACACCACACACTGCTACAGTAACACCACACACTGCTACAGTGTTACTCCACACACACACTGCTACAGTTACTCCACCACACACTGCTACAGTTACTCCACACACACTGCTACAGTAACACTCACACACACTGCTACAGTTACTCCACACACACTGTTAATACAACACCACACACACTGCTAATACAACACCACACACACTGTTACAGTACAACACACACACACTACAGTGGAATACAACACACACACTGCTACAACACCACACACACTACTGGGTTACTCCACCACACACTGCTACATAACACCACCACACACTGCTACAGTGTTACTCCACCCACACACTGCTACAGTGTTACTCCACCACACACTGCTACAGTGTAACACCACACACACTGCTACAGTAACACCACCACACACTGCTACAGTAACACCACACACACTGCTACAGTAACACCACACACTGCTACAGTAACTCCACACACACACTACAGTAACTCCACCACACACTGCTACAGTTACAACCACCACACACTGCTACAGTAACACCACACACACTGCTACAGTAACACCACACACACTGCTACACTGTAACACCACCACACACTGCTACAGTGTACACTCCACCACACACTGCTACAGTAACACCACCACACACTGCTACAGTAACACCACACACACTGCTACACTGTTACACCACACACACTGCTACAGTAACACCACACACACTGCTACAGTTACACCACCACACACTGCTACAGTAACACCACACACTGCTACAGTAACACCACACACACTGCTACAGTAACACCACACACACTGCTACAGTTAACACACCACACACTGCTACAGTAACACCACCACACACTGCTACAGTAACTCCCACACACTGCTACAGTTAACACCACCACACACTGCTACAGTGTAACACCACACACACTGCTACAGTGTTACACCACCACACACTGCTACAGTAACACCACACACACTGCTACAGTGTAACACCACACACACTGCTACAGTAACACCACACACTGCTACAGTTAACACCACACACACTGCTACAGTGTAACACCCACACACTGCTACAGTAACACCACACACACTGTTACAGTAACACCCACACACTGCTACAGTAACACCACCACACACTGCTACAGTACTCCACCACACACTGCTACAGTGTAACTCCACCACACACTGCTACAGTAACTCCACACACACACTGCTACAGTAACACCACCACACACTGCTACAGTGTAACTCCCACACACTGCTACACTGGAACACCACACACACACTGCTACAGTTACTCCACCACACACTGCTACAGTGTAACACCACACACACTGCTACAGTGTAACACCACACACACTGCTACAGTAACACCACACACACTGCTACAGTGTAACACCACCACACACTGCTACAGTGTAACACCACCACACACTGCTACAGTAACACCACACACACTGCTACAGTTACACTCCACACACTGCTACAGTAACACCACACACACTGCTACAGTAACACCCACACACTGCTACAGTAACACCACACACTGCTACAGTTAACACCACACACACTGCTACAGTGTAACACCACCACACACTGCTACAGTACACCACACACACACTGCTACAGTAACACCACACACTGCTACAGTACTCCACCACACACTGCTACAGTAACACCACACACACTACTACAGTGTTACACCACCACACACTGCTACACTGTAACTCCACCACACACTGCTACAGTGTAACTCCACCACACACTGCTACAGTAACACCACACACACACTGCTACAGTAACACCACACACACTGCTACAGTACTCCACCACACACTGCTACAGTAACACCACCACACACTGCTACAGTAACACCACACACACTGCTACAGTAACAACACCACACACTGCTACAGTGTTACACCACCACACACTGCTACAGTGTTAACACCACACACTGCTACAGTACACACCACACACTGCTATACAACACCACACACACACTGCTACAGTTACACCACACACACACTGCTACACTGTAATACCACACACACTGCTACAGTGTTACAACACCACACACTGCTACAGTAACACCACACAACTCCACACACACACTGCTACAGTACAACACCACCACACACTGCTACAGTGTAACACCACACACACTGCTACAGTAACACCACACACACTGCTACAGTGTAACACCACACACACACTGCTACAGTGTTACTCCACACACACACTGCTACAGTAACACCACACACACTGCTACAGTACACACCACACACACACTGCTACACTGTTAACACCACACACACTGCTACAGTACAACACCACCACACACTGCTACAGTGTAACACCACACACACTGCTACAGTACAACACCACACACTGGGAATACACACACACACACTGCTACAGTAACACCACACACACTGCTACACTGTAACACCACACACACTGCTACAGTAACACACACACACTGCTGTTACACCACACACACACTGCTACAGTAACACCACACACTGTTACAACACCACACACTGCTACAGTAACACCACCACACACACTACAGTAACACCACACACACTGCTACAGTAACACCACACACACTGCTACAGTTACACCACACACACACACTACAGTGATACAACACCACACACTGCTACAGTACACTGCTACAGTAACACCACACACACACTGCTACAGTAACACCACACACTGCTACAGTAACACCACACACTGCTACAGTAACACCACACACTGCTACAGTAACACCACACACACACTGCTACAGTAACACCACACACACACTGCTACAGTAACACCACACACACTGCTACAGTAACACCACACACACTGCTACAGTAACACCACACACACTGCTACAGTAACACCACACACACTGCTACAGTTAACACCACACACACTGCTACAGTAACACCACACACACACAGTAACACCACACACACTGCTACAGTAACACCACACACACTGCTACAGTAACACCACCACACACTGTTACAGTCCACACACACACTGCTACAGTGTTACACCACACACACACACACACACTGCTACAGTAACACCACACACTGCTACAGTAACACCACACACACTGCTACAGTAACACCACACACACTGCTACAGTAACACCACACACTGCTAGAGTTAACACCACACACACTGCTACAGTAACACCACACACACTGCTACAGTAACACCACACACACTGCTACAGTTAACACCACACACTGCTACAGTAACACCACACACACTGCTACAGTAACACCACACACACTGCTACAGTAACACCACACACTGCTACAGTAACACCACACACACTGCTACAGTTAACACCACACCATCTAAAGTTAACACCACACACACTGCTACAGTAACACCACACACACAGCTACAGTTAACACCACACCATCTAAAGTTAACACCACACACACTGCTACAGTAACGCCACACACACTGCTACAGTTAACACCACACCCACTGCTACAGTTAACACCACACCATCTAAAGTTAACACTACACAAACTGCTAGAGTAACACCACACACCCTACTACAGTTAACACCACACTATCTAAAGTTAACACCACACACACTGCTACAGTAACACCACACACACACTGCTACAGTAACACCACACACCCTACTACAGTTAACACCACACCATCTAAAGTTAACACCACTCCCTGTTAAAAGTTAACAGTATAATTTACTTAGCGGAATGTCATCCCCCTCCCTAGAACACGATCCGGTAAGCGATTTACATCCAGGAACAGCTAAGAGCATAGAAATGATTAGTGAAGAATCATTAGAGAAACTATAAGTTTCTCTCCCTTATGAGGCTCCGAAAACGGTGATAGGAAACTACAAATACCTTTCCCCCCCCCCACCCCATGATCTGAACCCCCCCCCCCTATTCACTACCACCATAATACCCATACCAGAACCCCCTAATCCCCACCCCCATCCACAAACCTCCCCCTATTCACCCTATGTATAAGCTCTATGTCCCTAATGTTATTCTTATCTTAAACTCTCCTCTTTGGCATTGTGTGGTTCCAAAGTGGTTTGTTGTTGTTGAATAGTGTTGTGAGGGGGGCGGGACAGGTGTGTGTGAGGGGTGGAGGGACAGGTGTGTGGTGGTGTTGTAACGGGTGCCAGAGCAGGTGTGTAGGTAAATGTATTGAAGGGCAGAGCCCTTTGGGAAGGTTTAGAACGGTCCACGCAGCACAAAGGTCCTATATTATATAGCCTCCTATACCCCCTTACCTTGTATAAGGCAACAGTATGATCTTCCCTAGTGCTTTGGCTCTATCAAAGTGGCCCCTGGCCAAAGTGGCCCACTGTGGAAGCCATAGTCAATGAGAGAGTTTCATCTCGACACCCTTGATGAGATTTTGTTTTTTTTCCGTTTGGATGCGTTGTATGGCTTAAGAAATTGGGATATATGATTCTTACCGCTGGTTTACGACGAGATGAAAGACGGGTTGGTGGGTGGTGGTGCATTAGGCTGTAACTGCCTTCACTA